TATAGATTCTAGTTATTTCTATGGGGTTGTAATGTTTTAAAAAAAATACTATTCCAAAGGTCTTTCTTAGATATATCAATACAAATATTGTTTATATTACTCCGTCTTTCTCTTGAATATATCCATATGATTCTGGGCTTTGTATAAACATCTAAAAATGTGAAACTAACAACTAAGTTGATCCAGAAGCTTACAAGTTACAAAAGACAGTGAAAGATATATGCATATTTATAATGTTTGCAAATACGATTCTAAAGGAATTCTTTGCTTACAATTGAATTATTCCTCGAATACGTCAATAGAGAAAGCAAAGTTAGCATTAGTACTGCTTCAACACTTGTTTATATTCCTTGTGATTTTATTAGAGATATTAGTGAAATACTTTGAGATGAATATTCCAAAGTTATAATGAGAAGCTGGGATCTGTTATGTCAACTAGTCGGAAGTGAAGCTGATTTCAATTGAAGACTTATGTTGATGGTCGTATTATATTGCTAAATGACAGGAACTGTTAACTGTAAACCAGTGAATTCCTATCCAGTGTCTGAATAGTTGTGTTCGCTGTAACACTCGATGATCGTGATTTTGATACCTTGCCGGATTGTGCGTGCACACTGCGAAGAAGTCCCATACTAGAACGAAATATCTCTCCACTACTGTGAGGTTTCTAATGTCAGTACAGAATCACATTTTTTTCAAGTTGGCATTCATCATGGACTGAAATCAATTAGAAAACCATTGGAAACCTGAGAGAACAGGACAACTGTTTCTTCTTGTTATGGAATTTCTCAGCAGTAGACACTTATGATCCAAACTCTGCAGGAGCCTATCAGGTTCTATGACGAACACGTTTTAACCGAGGCACTGAGCTGGGATCTAATGATCCACATTTCCTACTTCTCTCAATTCTCAGTAACGCAAGAACTTCATCCAACACCGTCAAAGAATGTCTCTTCTCACCTCTGACTTGACATGCCTAACCGGCTAAGACTTCTAATTAGGACTTTGGACATCTCATCTCAGTTCGTAGATGGGTCATGTGTGTTCAGCTGAAGAGTCTCAGACTGGAACGAAACAACTGCCCGATGCTTCCACTTTTTCATTGGTTCTCCAACTGATCTCAACCCGTGATGAATGCCAACCTGACATTAGTCATAAAGTCCCTACATACCTTCAAACTGTATTACATTTTTATTTACTTCATCAAAAACTACTTCTTTAATTCTGCATTGCATTCGTGACAACTCGCGAAATTCACTGGTCAGAAAGATACTTTATTCATCAGAAATACTAAGCGTGGTAAAAAGTGTAGACTATTAGTTGGCTTCTATCAACATCGGTAGTTGTACACATCAGTTGGATTAAAACGAATCGACAAATCTATGTAATTTATATACAGGTAACACAATTCACTGGCGCGGAATCACGCTCCTGTCCACCCAAAGCAAAATATTATGCCGCATCATCCTGGAGAGACTAAAAGATGCACTGGATTCAAAATTACTATCGTAACGGGGTGGCTGAATTCAGGAAGAACAAATCATGTGCGGATCAAATCGCAACACTACACTTCACTGAGCATCATCATAGAACAGAGTATAGAATGCCAGTCAACCCTCTACCTCAACTTCATCGACTTTGAAAAGACCTTCAATAGCGTTGACCGGGAAGTGATTTGGAAACTGCTTCAACACTACGGAGTGCCACAAATCTTTATCAACCTCACTCAATAGCTATATGAAGATGCCATATGCCAAGTGATCTACAATGGAAAGCTCAGTGATGCTTTTGAAGTTAAGACAGGAGACAGGAGTGAGACAAGTCTGCCTACTATCACTGATGATATTCCTGATTGTGATCGACTGATCATGCAGCAAACACTGAGGAGCGAGAAGAGGGGGATACGCTGGACTGCGGAAAAGAACCTAAAAGGTCTCGATTTCGCCGATGACTTATGTCTAATGTCACACACGCTTGGAGATCTACAGGTTAAAACCAACAGGTTGACAGAAGAGGCGATGCAGAGAAAACGCGACTTCAAGTGAAGGTAGAGAAGACAGAGGTGATGAAGATAACCAACCAATACCATCATCAACAACAACAAGCTCCAATCACCATCAACGGGAGAAACATAAAGGAAGTAGCCTCTCTCACCTATCTAGGCAGCATCGTGTCAACTACTGGCAGTACAGACGAGGACGTCAAAGCCAGGATTGGAAAAGCAAGACAGGCCTTCATTGACCTGAAAGCAGTGTGGAGATCTTCTACACTCAATATAAAGTGTGAACAAGATCCAGATTTTCAACACAAATTCAGTCAATTCAGTGCTTCCATGTGATGGTTCAGAAACTTGGTGCGTTACAAAGGGATTTCCAACAAACCACAGACATTCATCAACAACTGCCTACTCTGGCTCGTTACTGAAGATCAGATGAGAAGGCCAGAATAATAAGAATCAGCAACAAGGAACTCTGGCTGGCTGGGAACGAACCAATCGAGAACCTATCACCCAACTAATATGCACTGGAAGGAAATGGAGATGGATTGGATTGTGCATACACTGAGAAGGCCAACTGGGGACATCACGTGCCAGGCCAGACTGTTGAGTAGAATTCAAATGGGGAACGATGGGTTGGGTGTCCCAGCTGTGGGTGACATGGAGGAGATCGTGTGAGGAAAAAATGAGATCTTATGGGCAGTCGTGGCGACAGGTTCAAAAGACTACAGAGAAGAGAGTGCATTGGAGATATGCTACTGAAGCCCTATTTTCTACTAGGAACCCAAGGGATAAATAATAATCATAACAGTATTGATCGTCGAGTTCCAATCCTAAGCTACTGAAGCGTGTGGACTATTCGCCTTGTACACAGGTGAAGCACAAAAACTATTACCGTAGTATTGAGAGAACAATAGTCTCGTTTAGTTCACAAGCGAGCGCCTATACCACGACTTGACTCCAGATAGCCCATTACTTTCAAAGGTTAGAATAAATATTATGATAATATTAATTTACATAAGGCTGTATGCAAAGCAAATATACGCCGCTACCGGTGCCAATATCCAGTGGATGCATGATAGTATTCTTGGAAAAATCGGATGATTAACTACTGCGTAAAAACCTTCTTGTAATTCATAGGTCCATACGTTCACCTTAGTGGGGAGATTTTCTTCAGGTTTGTATCTGGATGCCTAGTGAACGAAAAAATGGCATTTTATTTTTATCTGAAATTGTAATTCAGTAAATAAACCTATCAGTGCAGCCTTTTTCTCAGATATGAAATCAGGTAATTCAATACACACTTTTCAATTGACTAATTTTTCTGTAGTGTGCAAACCAAAATTGCCAAATCTTATTTCCCCTTATGCATTGATTGTTGGTTATTTTCTCTATAGGCTAATATATGTGGTGTAACGTTCAAAAAGCATAAATAAAGTTCTTATTTGAAGTAATAGGTGCCAACAACACTACGGTAGTAACAATAATAATAATAATAGTAATACGTAATTGTTTATCTCCTGAATTATTCGTCAATTGACTCAACTGTATATGTTAGCGTTTTATAAGTTGGTGGAACTTTAGGTGAAACAACTCCCGTCAAACGACCTATTTACCATAAGAGTTATCACAGAATTAACTCGTATCCCCTGGCTTGGAAGACTTGAAATACAGTTTATCTGAGCATTTTGGTTTCCATTGAATTGTATGAAGATATGAAACATCTTAAGTAGAGAGTACAGCATTGTTGAAATAGTTCCAAAATAAAAACTCCTATTTTTGGCGATTATTGGATTTAAAGACATGTGGAGGGAGAGAGAGAGAGGGAGAGGCTGTTGAGACAACAGTTGCTTAACTCAAGTGATACTAAAGAGTTCTTATATTAATAATTCTTACTTTTTGCAGGAAGAAATGATTGTCTACCTTTTAAAAAGTATTCATCATGAACTGACATCAGTTAGAGTAACCAGATTTATGTTACCTAGTTGTGAGTGCTAACCAAATTCTATCGACCATTTCACAATGTAGTTACCATACCATGAGATTTACCATCGTGATGCACTTTGATAGGTGTTAGTTGGTTGGAGGTAGTCAGTAGGAAGCCCTGAACCGGGACAGTTCATCGTCAAAATCGTTGGCTGCAGAATTGGGCTACGTGATTTCAATCCGCATGGCAGGGAGACATCGTTTCCTTCTAGGTTGCAGATATACATTATTGATGCATACCCACAAGCATGGAAGTTAGGTCAAGTAAGGCTTCTTGGCGATCGCTTCCAAACAACTAACATTTGTCTGTTTGTCTAAGCGCTAGATATCAGTACAAACAAGAAATAAACATTGGAAATTTATGAAGAAAGGTTTCAACTGCCGTACAGGCTTATAAAATCGTAGATTCTGTATGTCTTGTTCTCCTTGGTGACTAGCTTCGAGAGGTAGTTCCTGAAGTTCCAGTGAGAAGTCGTGACTGGTGGAGGAAACCTGATGGACGTGAGGACAAACACTTAGCGATAACATTCGATGATTGTAGCGCTATGTCACGAACTGACAGAAGCAGGAAATGTAGACCATTGGATTCCGACACAGTTGCTCAATGGTAACGTGCTGACCACGGAACCTGAAGGTAGAACATATGAGCCCTGGAGGGTCCGGGTTATAAGTGAGCACTGCTAAGGGGTCCTATACTAAGAAGAAACAGCTGTCCAGTGCCCCCAGGCTCCCAGTGTTCCTTCAACTGATGTCAGTTCATGATGAATACGGACTTCAAATCAGTAAATCAGCAAAAAATCCCCAAACTGAACTCTGAAATTCGAGGAACACCCTACGACCATTGAACCTACACATCAGTGTAGTGCAGCCTATAACTTCAGCACTTTATGTTGAAGAGAATACGAATGTGTCCTAATTTTTATCATTCACGCAGTGAGGAACCTCATGATTTCACTTATTTGACATTCACCAAGATCACTTTTAAGTTTTTGTTTTACTCATTTTTGTATTATTTCAGGGAGCAAATTTAAATGGGGATATTGAAGATCTTTTCAGTAATCAATGGTCAGCTCCAGAATCTATCCCACGTTATCGTCCAGAACCACCATGTCCTCCTAAACATGTATTACTTCACTATTCAGTGTTTCGAATTGTATGGGACTGGACAATTTTGTTGCTTACTGGTTATACAGCTATTATTGTCCCACTAAGAGTTGCAGTGATCCCTCGACCAGCATGGGTTCCTTCTGAATTATTATCTACGAGGTCCAACAGTGGAAATGATTGGTTGCACCCAACAACTTTGGAAATACTAACTATAACTGATGCAATTATCGATATAATATTTGGTGTAGATATTGTGTTGAATTTTCATACATCGTTTGTTGGAGCAGGAGGGGAAGTTGTTGCTGATCCATCAGTGATTCGAATGAACTATTTAAGCGGTTGGTTTACCTTAGATTTACTAGCATGTCTTCCATATGAAATATTGAAGTATTGCTGGCCTGTAAATAATGCTGTAAGTTTTAACAAGTTGTATGATCGGTTAACGACTGTTTTTAAACATTAACTTAACCGAAATCAGTTTGCCTACTGTTATTTTAAAAAGAATAATGATAAAATCACTTTATTTCATTCATCCGGAATACTTAAACTAATTAAAAGGTTTGGTCTCTTCAAATTATCTGACAATGATGTCTCAACCTAACAAAGTTATTGTTTAATGACAAAATATATGCCACCTTCTGAGCAGTATTCATATCAATGAGAGGAAGTTGTAGAAATATGATAAATCTTTTGCTATATAAAGTAGTGATTTCATAAATATGTGGAAATATTTAAATTTTTAGGAGTTGAAGACTGTCAAGATTGTAAATCAAGTCATTGGAATGAAGCAAAGTGAACTGTTTACATTCAAGTACTGTTTTACTCCGATAGAAAGTGAATGTTGACTAGTTTAAAGGATTAGGTAACTCTGTCTTCTCTTTTCAATAATCAGTAACGAAAATTTTCTTCTCCACGAATCATTTTCATAAGCTGTACAGTCTTATTTAAAGCTACAAACGAACAAATAGGTCTCTTATTGGTTAATAGGTCATTGTTCAGTCAGCAGTTAGTCAAAAAGTATATAAGGATATTATACAGTCGATCATGGTTATGACTAGTTGGTCGGATTTACTATAACTAGTAATAATCAGTCAGTTTATGGAGCTCGTTATGTAGTCTACACAAAGCGCAATCTTTCTAAACGTATCTTCAAGCAGTACATCACTTGATTGTCGAGAAAAGAATCCAGTTCAAGCAACAATTCCATCTTGGACTATTTGGTCAACTCTTATCTATTCAATTCCCCACAATCTCCTTTCAAATCGTATGAAAAGCTAAGCCAAACTGTTGAGAAGTGTGAATTTGTCACTTATGTATAACAGAGGGGTTAGTAATCCAACAATTAAAGCCTGAGCTCTTATTTCGTCCCTCATTGAGTTCTTTTATTGCTTCGATTTTCACCTTACTCTGACAGAATGATTATTGTTATTATTATCCTTACTTTGCAATTTACTTTCATATATCTCAACATGTTAGATTCAACCTGTCAGTAAAATCATATAGTACTCTACTCTTATTACTGATTATAATTAGAACTATTATTTTTAACCTGCTCTTTTAAACCTTTTGATCGTATTTTCCTCAACTATACTCAAACTACGCAATCCCTTTCTGACTGTAGAACATTTGGTTTCGATGGATGACCTAGTGTTGATCTGTTTTTCAATAATAGACTATTTTGAGATAGTATTCATCATGGAGTGACGTAAGTTAAAAAACCATTGGAAACTTCGCAGTACTGAACATCTGTTTCATCCTAGTTTGGGACTCCTCAGCAGTATGCATCCACGACCTAGGTAGTGATCAAACACTGGGCCTTCATGTTTCAAGGCAAATGCGTTAACCATTCATCCACTGGTTCACAGTTTCCAGCTCCTGTCAATTTTCAATATAGTCCAATTATCTCCTCAAGTCTTCAGATGGCATCCACTTCCCTACTGACTAGTTGACCCCACAAGTTATGGCTTCTCATTATAACTTCAAGATAGGCATCTGGAAGCATGTCGTCAATGACATATATACAGTAATATATTTTGAGGTGAATAGGGAATACTACTTACAGCACTGAGTGATGCTAGCTTAAATCTATGAAAGAACTTCAGTTTCCACAAGGTTTCAGATGCACACTACTCAGAAGTTTCAGCAGGCATGAGAACAGAATAAAATAAGATTTTCTATCAATCACCTCTATTTAGCTAGCATCAATCAGTTGAAGTGCACTTCGATGGTGAATTTTTTAGCTTGGTGACCATACTACAAAATTATTGGAAGAATTTGACTGGCACTTGAGACTGGACAACCTACAATTGATTACCCTTAATTATTTAATGAAGTATATATGTACATGCATATATACGCTTACAACGGTCTTGATTATTTCAGCACCTTTTATAAGAGTATTTCTATTCTATTTAGTCTGGTTACAGTGATCCACGAAAGCATAACTATAAAAATTGATAAGATTGCAACATCATTCAAATTACGAATGATTATCCAGCAAGGTGTCTTTCAAATTTTCTTCTCAGTGTGTAGAGTAAGTCTAATTAAATTACTGTGACCGTCTGAAGAAAAGATTTTTTACTGTCAGTCGATACGAAATCGAACCATCTTACAATAAGACTATATATTGGTAAACATTATTTTTATGATGGAAGCTACTTATTTGAATAATTATTAGTAGTATGTGGCGCGAATTCGTCAGATTTACGAGTTGATATCCTGTAGAAGAAAATGCACAATATCGAACAAAGTACAAAGAAAGGAAAGGTATAAATCAACAACCAATACACCTAGACCATTTGACATTTAGAAAAATGAGGTTGTTTACAAATTGTATCGTTTGTGATTATTACTTTAACCGACTATTATAAGTGGTGTTTACTGCTCCAACATTGTATTCTTCACAGAAAGTATCATCCTTGCGTTGGAATACAATTTCAGCAGGAGATACACAGATAAGCTGTCTGACAGTCATGTGTTCAAAGAATATCACAACTATATTATAGCGTTGCTCAATAATCAACATTATTCAAAGAAAAGAATCAAATTGTTGTTAATATCAAGATGTCTGCATGGTGGCCTAAATGTAAATAGGGCTCAATCATTTCGATTAAGTCAATGACAGGAGGTTACTAGTAACAGCATAAAAACTGTACTCATCGCACAGGGAATGAGTATTGTGACTCATTGGTCTAGTAGATAACGTTCTGGTACTCGTAGTGATTGGTCATGGGTTCATCACTAACTGAGAAATAGGTGCATTCAGCTAATCAGTCACAAATAAAATGAAATGCGCATCCTGAATTACACTGTTAGCCAATAACCATCGTTACTTCAGAATAAAGTTGTCTAAAATACCAGCTACCTACTTGATCAAGTTTAATTACTTAGTGAAAACAATTACAATTTCTGTTCACAAATAGACTGTTTATTTGTGATAGTTTTCATTCGTTCACTCATTTCACAAACTACTTGTTTTTAGGTCGGTATTCATCACAGACTGACATCAGTTGCAGAACCACTCGAAACTTGAATTTCGATCCAGTACTTCAATGGTAATATGATGGTCACAGAAATTGGAGATATTAGGTACGATCCTTGGCTGAGTGTGGAATCCTACGATAGGACGAAATAAATGTCCAGCGCTCTTGGGTTTTCAGTGGTCCTTCAACTCATGTTAGTTTATGATGAATACCAACTTGAAATCAATAAATCCCCGTTAATCTTCAAGTTTTTTATTTAGAAAACCAATTTATCAGTTAGGTAAGTGTTCAACTGAAAGCTAAGTTATTCTTTCCATTTCATTTCCTTTTCTTCACCTTCTTTTACAATCATATAGGATATTTATTATCTAATGGATGCATTACGCATAGTTCGTTTACTACGGATAGGTCGTGCAGCTAGAAGAATAGATCAGTATCTGGAATATGTTTCAACATTATTAATTTTAATGATTTTATGCTTTTTCTTGCTGGCACATTGGTTTGCCTGTGCATGGTATGCTGTTGGTGTATACGATCTAGAAAATAAAGTTTATTACGGTTGGATACCAAGAATTTATAATGATTCATTGAAACCTCAAAATTGGGAAGAATTTGTAGTATATGATCGTGATTCAATTTCACTATCAATTCATATGGGTAAGACACAAACGGATTCAACTGTACATAATTCACTAATAACTCCTTCATCAGTTAACTTGAAATCACAATCATCAGTGACCTCCATGTCTTCATCATCAGCCTTGTATACATCAACTAGTCATTTTACTAAATCGAAAGACTTCACCAATTGTTCATTGAATAATACATGTGTAAATAAATTTCTTCAAAATAAAAATATTACTATGAAACAACAATATCAACCTAATGTTTATAATATGTTATCATCAAATTTACCATTACAAAATCCAAAAGATAAATGGGCGGCTTACTTAACAGCACTCTACTTCAGTTTATCACTGTTGACAACAATTGGATTTGGTAATGTGGCAGCTTTTACTGAAAGTGAAAAATTACTATCAATTTGTTGTATGCTTATTGGAGGTGAGTCAATATGCATCAAACTACTTGTGTATATACTCCATGAAGCTACTTATGCTTTTCCTGTTAATATCGTTAAGATAATAAGTAAAATAACTGATCACTTTCTGTTTAACACATGTATAAAAGTTATTGATTATAGTTTGTCTAACAACATGTATAAAAGAAAAAGTGTTTTTTGCTTCGGTCTAATTGGTTGCCATCAGTGGAATCCGTTTGCAGTTTAGAGGAAATTACAAGTGTAGATAAACAAAGATTAATATCCTGTTGAAAAGGTAGTGACTGTTGTTGTCTAGTGGACTAGTGAAGAATGCCTTTATGTTTGAAGCGATGAATACTGGGTTCAGATCTCCATGAGAACCATATCACTCACTGTGGTTCAGATACATCCGGCTGATGAGTCCCCAAAAAATGTATCCTGAATTCCAGTACAAGCTAATAAGTAGACTACAAAGCAATTTGGACATTTAGGCAATCTAACTGAGAAATGTTAAGCACTAGTATTGTGAATCATTTGGTAAATTTGAGAAATAGTAAATAATATGAATTGGGAATCATCTTGGCAGGTGCTTACTACAATTCGATGTAGGATGGTTACAAAATTCTTAAATTATGACACAGAATAAAGCAACGAACATACAGGGGTGACAATTAATTGGTCATATAGTTTAAAATCTGAGAATGTGATAAGGAAATATAAATTGTCATTTAAAATTTACATCACTATCAACGGAATAGTCAATATTAGGACAAAGAATATAGTCAAAGTATGCTTGAACAATGAACAACGAAGTCATAAAATGTGATGGAATTCATAGTCAACCGAAAGCAGAAAAATTTGAAATTAGGCTGATCAGCATTTATATCTCATCAGAATTCCCTCCAAGATGTAAGAATACACTAAACCCTATTTGTTTTTCAACTGTTGCCTGTTAAAGATTCACTACAAGACAGAGAAGAAGAAGGATTATATTTCAACAGGAAACGTTGAATAAATAAAACCTCAAAAAGTTTATCGTTGCAAGTTGTCACATTTCACGCCAGCAACTAAAGAAAAGGTGCTTAGAAATAGTGATATTACAGTAGAAGGTTCAAAAACAGATCCTTAAGCTTTCGAATATGTCAAATGGTGAGTACATCTACGCCTTTTTCGACTGGTTTTGAGTCCAGTTACCAATAGTCCCCAACTTTAGGTGTTTATTACCTGGAGGACTCCATTCAGACAGTTTACACCTCCCTATTTTTTCGAGGAGTGCCTAACTCATACTATACAAATTTCGGCTCACCTGTGTTATTGAAAGCGTAAAGATCTTTACTGCCTTTAAATCTGATTGTGGTTGGTTTTCAAAAGGTTAGACTTTCTACTTGTCGTTATTCAAGGCTGATAAGGAAATCACTTGATTTTCAACAAGTAAGCATTATATCATATGATACTCAGAAAGATGCCCACTCTATTTGGAATTTCCACCTATTTATGATAGTAAGCAGTATATGTAATGTATTTTCAACTGCATTAATGGTGCCAAGAAGGATCTATATATTGTAACGTGACCATTTGTTTCGAATAAAATGAAACAGGAATTACATAGTGTGGTTTCAGGCAGGTATAAGTCATGAAAACACAGAAACTTATGAGTTTGTAAACTTATACTTTGTTTTGATAACCTTGAGCAGTTCAAAAATATGCTGTAAAGATTTAGCTACGTATTCGAGTTAGCCTAAAACAAAGAGAGACACAGTCAACGTAGAACCTCTCACAGAAGTGTATCTGTTCAAGTTACCACATTTCACAGTAACTTACAAAGAACAATTGGACAGGATAAACTGATATTAAAGTAGAGAAAGGAAAAGCAATCTGGAGATGAAGGTTTGTAGAAGTTTTCAAGTTTTAGGAAATGTTGAAAATCGAATTAACCTGTGCCAATGTAAGTGATTTTCAGCCACTCATTAAGGATTTCCAACCAGTGGTTCCTACCATCTCGTGGATCCCAACTTCCCAGTCTCCATCTCTCTACATGACACAAACCAGCACACAGAGATTACATGAACTGGAATTGCATCCTGATCACCACGCTTAGTCTTCTTCTAACTGTAGTTCTAGGTTCACCACGTGTAAAATATTCCATAAATGAAATCCATTTGTAAAGTCCCAGTGATGTAGAAAAATAAATTGTCAACGTTGCACTGACCTCATGGAAGTCCCTTCTCCAGAGTTATTGCATGTCAAAATAGAAAATGACGACAAATTAGATCACGTTGTTCATACATGATAATGACATGGAAATAAGTATCATCGTTATCAGTTACTAGTCCGTGAGTTCAAGGTGAAGACGGGAATGTGAGCACATGTGTGGATAAGCGTCAAGATTATTATTATTTATCTCTTGGGTTCCTGGTGGAACATATAGCTTCAGTAGCACACCTCCATTCCACTCTCTTCCCTGAAATCTTTCGAACCTGGCTCCTTGACTACCGACAAGCTCTCATTTCTTCCTCACACCATCTCCTCCATGTCACCCACGGACGCCCAACTCGTCGTTTCCCCTTTGGATTCCACTCGACGACCTGACTTGGCGCGTGATGTCCCTGAATGGTCTTCTCAGTGTGCGCTTAATCCATCTCCACTTCCTTCCAGTGCATATTTATTGAGGGACAGGTTCTGGGTTGGTTCGTTGCCAGATTTCCTTGTTGCTTATTCTTTCCGGACATCCATCTGATATTCAGTATCGAGTGAGCGTAGGCAGTTGTTGATGAATGTCTGTAGTTTATTGAAAATGCTTTCGTGACGCACAAAGTTTCTGGACCATATAGAAGCACTGACTCGACATAAGTGTTGAAAAACCGGATCTTGTTCTTTGTGCTGAGTGGAGTGCAGTAGATCTCCACACTGATTGCAGGTCAATGAAGGCTTGTCTCGCTTTTCCAATCCTGGCTTTGACGTCCTCGTCTGTGCTGCCTAGATAGGTGAAAGAGGCTACTTCCTTTAAGTTTTTCCCGTTAATGGTGATTGGTGTTTGTTGTTGTTGGCAGTGGCGTTGGTTGGGTATCATCATCACCTTTGTCTTTTCTATGTAAGTGTCAAGATGCGTTAAACAAATTATATGGATCAAGAATTCAGTTTGTTTGTGTGTGTGTGTGTGTGTACTTTAGTTATGACTAATGTGTTTGACGTGTTATTTCGGATATACTGCCCAAGTTGGTTGAATAGTTAGGCCTTCCGTTCTCTGTTAAGTGCATTACGACTGAACATAATGTGAAATGCGTCAGCTATCCGTTTTTCATCATAGATTGGAAAAACCTTTTTTGAATAATTTTAATATTTTCAATACCGATCTTGTGACCATAAAAGATGGCATAAACACCAACTGCCGGGTTTATTCCTAAATTCTCCAATTATACAGCATTGTTTGGAAGCCGTTTTGTGTAAACCGCATGCCCTTCAACACGAATAAAGATCTCGTGGGATGATTCCCCCAATATAATAAGCATCACAGTCAACGCCGCTTAATCTGTAGACACAGTTTCTAAGAGTGTTGGTTGTCCTGTAGAAGCCTTTGATTCAGTATTTTCTGAAAATCCTTTATAACTCTTTAGTTGTACCTAGACAAAATTCTTATAAACACTTTCCTAACTCAGTGCTGATAATTTGATTTTATTCTTGGATTATTCTGTTCATGGTTTTTAATCTTTTGAATGATATTCTTAGAGTAGTTATTGGAATGTAACACATCTATTATGTTTCTTACTTTCGTTTGTCTGTCGTCATCATTTGTGACAAACTTTGTGATCCTCCTAAATACGGTTACGAAACGTCAGACATTTATTTTCCAACCTCATTGAGATATAACAAGTGGATTTTATTGATAAGTCGTCTTCTGGCTTTCATTCCTTTGCCTACAACCATCCACCTAGACTTGACACCACCCAGATGGTGGGTGACTCGACCATAAGTGAGCTACTCTGATAAGGCATCAACTTTCAAAAACCTTTAGTCTCTTTATACTTTCTACTTTCTATGACCACGTATCAGATTTAGATAGCAAGATCTCTATGATATAGAACTGCTAACTTCTAAAAGAAACTGATTTCCTGTAAGTCGTTTCTCTGACAAAATTATGTTTATCATTTTGACCATATGAGATAGCCATGGTTTGGTAGACTCGTAGTATTTAAACTGGGTAATGATTGAAGATGAATTGAAAATTTAAACCGCGGCCGGATTCAAATCAGAGACTACCTTAGTGACTGAAGTGAAAGAAAAATCTGGTCAACAGTCTGGTCTTGTAGCTCAGGTGGTAAAGTACCGTGTGCATTCATAGTTCATTGACTACCTTTAAATACATAAGATAATGAAGTCATCTGACAAAACATGGTTTCAGCGGAGGAAAATTTTTCTTTTCGACGAAGTCGTTTACTAAGCTGTACATTTATGAATATATGTTGCAGTGGGTAGAACGTCCCACAAATGTTTCCAGTCAGGAGGTAAATTAAATTGAGTAACTAAAGGAAGTTAGTTAATATATATTTTTGTGTTTAGGGTGGGAAAATAGACAAGGGATTATGAAATTAAATGTAATTACGTAACTCAGGGTGAATGTAATGCAAAGTAGGAAACTGAACGAAGGGTTATGACGATATACTTGCGACTATGTAATACCGGACAAAACTATGACAAAGTATGAAAATAAACAGCAGGGGATCATGAAAATAGGACTATGATTACATAATGCAAGTTAAATCTGTAAGAGAGTTGGAAGCTAAACAGAGTATTACGAAAATAAAATTGTAATTACGTAGTGCAGGTTAAATCTATGACAGAGTAGAAAAATAAATAAGGTATAAGTGTGTATACATGTTACCTGATACAAAATGAATCTATGGCAGACAAGACTTTATGATGGCCATGACAAAGACAAAGGTTCGAAGTACTTTTTTTGGACGTATAACGCAGGTTTGAACTTCTGGGTGGTTAGTGCTTTAGCTATAAACGGATGCTTTGACATTACTCTCTTCCAGTGGTTTGATCGAACCCTGTAGAGGATTTTGAATAAGCTGTCAAAAGGAGCTAAGTGGCCTGAGTTCACAAGGTGTTCTGTTATTGAACTGAAGATGCACTCCTGTTCTCCCTTTGCAAGCCAGGCTGGGTAGTGTTCGTGGGCCCTTAGTTGTTGAGATGATTCGGCCATTTAAAAGGTTTCGATTAAAAACCTTATGCTGACATGAACGGTCAAATAACAAGTTTTTCGCTAGTATTCGATGATTATAACTAGCCAGCTTCATTAAGTGTAACATTTTCCTTACCCAATACTTTATAGTTAGAGACATTCCCGTATATGGTCACTCTTAGGAACTTTACAAAGCATCCAGACGTAGTCTGTACAGTCAATTACTCAGTTCTGTGGTCAGTTTACTAGTAAATTAAACTGATGAAGGTATTACAACTGTGAAAGAACCTAATTTCTAAACTTCCCCTTTTTATATAGAACATTTAAGTATAATAGTCTCATCTAATGACACTTTTGTCACATTTCAGCAACAAAAAAATAGATAATGTGAATAAAAATGTGCAAAACAGCTTTTGACACTTAATCATGAACTCACTATATATTAGAAATATTAACCTTCTTGACAAGCTAATACACCGAAATCAAAGTTTGCGGTCGCCTTAAAGTTATATCTCAATTTCAAGCTATCTGTTAGTTTCAGGATTATCTTGTTGTTCTTTATTAACGGTAGTAGTAGTGACGATGAAAAACAAATTGTGCAGTTACTCTGACTAAGGTTGGATGAAACGGGGTCTAGTATAGGCCTCAAAAAGATACATTTCTATCACGTTTTATAGATCAGTAGATAATTAGTCATCTAATGAGTAGACTTATCAAGCAATTTACTAGCTAATCTGATGATTTGCAGTAAGAGACCATTTCAGATGAAACTCCCTGATTTGGATATTCGCCTGCTTCCAATGAAACTTCTGACCCCAAACAGAAGTTACAGGGTTCAAACGTTTGAAGAAATTTCATGATTTGCAAGTAGTAGTTGCCAAATGACGACCAGATGTCAACAATAGTTATTTGATTCACATCAGTTTTTCGCCTTTGAATCACATTGAAATTAGTTTTCTCTCTCAAGAACTACCAAAGGTATGAATGAGTTGGATTTTTTCATTTCGTTAGAAAGCCAACTTACTAACAACGTTATTGTTTGTAAACATGAATGACAATCAACTAGAAACTTATTTTGGTCATTAAATTGGATTGTTTCACATAAAGATACAAACATGTATTCCACTTAAGAAAACATAATATTCTTCCTTTCGCAATTTTAACGAATTTTTAATGCTCAGTTTTTCAACAATTAAAAAACGTTTGTTGCCTATTCGTTGCCTGATAGTGTTATACAACTATGCGAAAACTAGCGATAGAAACAGTTGTTTCCAACTCCTATTTGTTTTAAGAATGTAGGGGGGGATTAAAATAAAAATAAACCATAGCTGGGTACTAAGACGGGTTAAAAGTTAAAGGGAGTATTGAAACTAGAATATTAGGATCTTTCAGTATTAAAAGTAGCGGTCATTGTCGTGTTTAACCTTCCGATTATCTTTCCACTTCTCTCGCCCTTCATCGCATGCGATCCTACTTGAGGTTGTGATTAAACATGAATAAAAACGTTTATAAAAGACTTCATCAGGTTTATTTCACCTAGTCCTCCCTCTACATATTACTTAAACATTGACTGATCAGTAGTGTAAGCACAGGTAACCGATACTTTCGAAATATCTTTAATTTCAACAAGTCTAGTAGGGGCGTTCCTCACTAGTTTAGGCTTACAAGTGTAAATCAGTGAATCAGAAGTCCAAACCCGACTCCACGTGTGCCGAACTCAGTGACTCAGTTACATCATCACATGCCAAACATTAATTGCTTCTAATAGTCCTACTTACGAATTCTTATCAGGTTTCTGAGCAGTATTCAAGTTCCAACTAGTATATGCCATGGATATTTTTTAACATAGTTGAAGCTGGCTGTCGCCGTTCATAAAGAAGACTAACGAATTTAAGGGATTTTCCTTCGTAGGCTACTCCTACTAATGTCAGTAGAATTTTATGTTTTAATGCCACCAGTTCACTTACAGTCATTTTGTGCATGTAGAACACAAGGTTGGTGAGGATTGACAGGAGAGGTAGACAAAAAATTAAAACCTCACATTCAACTGAGCGAATGTTTATAATATCTGTATTCTTCATTTAACATAATTTACCCCCCAGTTCATAATGCTTATTACCATATCTTTTGTATTGTTCTCCGACACCTATATCGATTGAATGTCAACCTAAATATATTTTCCCAGTTACATCGTATCCAATACTACTTATATGTTTCATCAGTAGTAGGCACCTCAATATAAAGAAACGTTTTAAATAGTTTCATTCTTAATGACGGATAGTAGCTAACAGTGGAATTTAGAAAGCGCGTTTAGTCCTACTCCTGAGTCGTCAGCTGGATCTGTCTGCCTCATAATGAGCGACTTTGTTCGCAATAGGACTCGACCTCGGGGTTGATCGCTCGAAACGCCAGAGACTTATCCACTACACTAACGAATCATGATAGCCACTTCTTGTATGAGGGCTATAGTTTTTCTGTTGCTGCCTTTATTATCCTGTCTATGAGTGCACCGAATTGATCTAGCTCTACTGACACATGAGCTGCTGTGCCGCTGCCTTGATATTTCCCTGTATTTAAATCAAATGGCAACGATGTAGAGTGGATAGCAGTGGGATTCAGGACGCACGTTTCATCCTATGTGGGACTCATCACTTGGAGGTACCTACCCTTCAGTGAGCACTGTTGTTTCCACTAGGACTTTATTCTAACTCATATTTACCTTTGGAATTGAAACGAGGAATGAAAGCATAGTAATAATATTCAAAAGGGAAATTTAGTGCATTTATTTATTTTATTAGAACTCCGGATGAGTAGCTTATTTCGAATCGAAATTTGCTCAGTAATCGTATGTAGATTGGTGCAGTAGGTAATGAGCCACATATATTTTATGAGGGCTAATGATACTACTTGGCTTCCCTAACCTCACTAGGTGGAGTGCTATTCGAACGCACTACCCATCGGTTGAAAATCAACAACCTTTACTAATGACCCACAACTCCGCCCTAACTACATGGAGATAAACATCAGGATCGTATGAAACTTCAGACTAAAGTATCTTTTGAGAAGAATAAAGCATCGAGACATTATTTTCTTACTAAGTAGCACGTTCAAAAACTTAACTGAATTCAGAAGAGTTACTGACATGCCACTTTAGTGTAATTGGTATGGACACCTGCTAGCATTATTATATTATTATTATTTGTCCCTTGAGTTGCTAATGGAACATAGGGCTTCAGCAGCACGCCTCCATTCCACTCTCTTCTCTGAAATCTTTTGAACTTGGCTCCACGACAGCGCACAACCTCTCATTTCCTCCTCGCACGATCTCTTCCATGTCACCCTCGGACGCCCAACTCGTCGCTTCCCACCGGGGTTCCACCTGAGGGCCCGGCCTGACACGTGATGTCCCCAGTCGGCTTTCTCAGTGTATTCCCAATCCATCTCCACTTTCTTCGAGTGCATATTTGTTGAGCTATAGGTGATACTATTGATAGAATCAGCGGATTACTTTCTAGTGCCCATTAGTGACTTGTTTCAAAATGAGATTTGTTGAAATTTTGGTGAGAAATCCTGAAAGGTGGGGCAACCCTAATCGGAGGTGTAGACAGATATTCAGCGATGAAATTGTATAGAGGCTGCAGTGTATCATGAAATCACAGAAGTAGGAAATGTGTACCATTAGATGTTGACGTAGTGGTTCAGTGAGAACATACTCATCGCGGAACCTGAAGGTCATGGGTTAGATCTCTGTTGAGCAGAAGTCACGGATTTATCCTAGGACGAAACAGCTGTCCAGTGCTTCAAGGTTTTCAATGCTTCTCCATCTGATGTCAGTCTATACTGAATACAAACTTGAAATCAGTAAATCCCTACAAATCTTTAACTTGAAAAGAGAGTATATTTTGTACTGTTTCTTGGAGTATATTCACCTTGAATTAAGAAGGAGTATGAAACCAATACAGTCCCATCAGTATTGTTCTCTTTTCACTTCTAAATAACTGACAGATTTGAATCCTACACAGATCTACAGATCTATCTATATTCGTTGGTACACATATAAAGGTGTAACAACGACTGTATGGTTCGCTTGTTTTAGGATGTTGTTCATAGTTAAACTCATGAAAATCTTTTTCATATAGACATTCAAAGAATTAAGCCAACACAAATGATTATTTTGTAAACGTCTTTAGTATCTGTTTGTGTTTTAAGCGGAGAAAGAAATTTTACACATTTTATTATCTATCTCAGGGAGGAATGAGCAGGAATAACTAAATCAATGTATTTTCTGCTTAATTCAAATATGGTTTTCTATGATGTAGTATTGTTTTTCAACAGAAAAATCTAGAAGGAAAATACTTTACTGTTTTGTTTTTAAATAAGATAACCACTTTAATTTCAAATTGTACAACAGGTGATAGGGATGAAGAACCAAATAAGGTGATAATTTACATAGCAATACTAATAATTAGATGATACACACAGGAGTATACAGAGTGTTGGTTGCTGTCCCAAGGATCCAAATTGATACATTCTGAAGAAGCATTATCTCTAGTGTATAGTCGCTTATCAATAATACATTGAAGCTATTAAATACACTAACCTATTTGTGATTCTTTTAAACTATTTTCTATTTAGCTCTTGTATATGCTACAATATTTGGGAATGTAACAACTATAGTTCAACAGATGTATGCCACACGTACACGATATAATGAAATGATGAAAGGTGTAAAGGATTTCTTAAAAATTCATGAAGTACCAAGGGAATTAGGTGAACGTGTCATAGATTATATTACATCATCTTGGTCAGTGACGAAAGGAATTGATACAGTTAAGGTGAGTTTTTCAACTTTCCTCTTAATATTTTGACTCCTTTGAAAAAGTCATCAGAAAGATTTTAAATTTTGTTAAGGATTACAACATAAATGATAGATTTTCCTCTAATTTTACTTTCATATTGGTTTTCATACCGTTTATGAGATTCACTCACGCCTAATGAATACTCTTAGCTAAATATTCAGCCAAGACATTTTATGATAGCAATGATGGATATTGACTAGCAGTGGAATTCAGGATGCCCGCTTCGTCCTATTTGGGACTCGTCAGCTGGAACTACATGCTTCCCGTAGAGTGACGTTGTTCCCGCCGGGATTCGGACTCGGGAGTGATCGCTTCATACTCCAGAGCGTTATCCACTACACCACGGAGCCACGTTAGCCACTTCTTGTCCTGTGGGTATAGTTTTTAGTAAATATAATTGTTTTTGTTAACGACGGTATGATATAACATCATTTATATATCCGTTATTATATGCTGTAAAATAATATTAGCCCAAACATCGCAACAGGCTTCATGTTCAACATTAGATTGTTTAATTGATATAGCACACACAGACACAGTATTAGTTACTGGATGATATTTCGAGCAGCATTCATTATTCATATTCATATTAAAGTGATCATACGACTTTCAAACTCCCGTCATTCATTTACTTTAGTTTTCCAGATATCTGTGATTTGTGATGAATCATTCCTGTTATGTGAGTTAGGTGTGTTGATTCAATGTCTCCCACCACCTAGCCAACAATATTGAATTTTAGAATGCTCCCCCTATTCTCCTGTGTATAGAGTGATTATGGGTCAGTCCATGCAGAATGATAGCCGAGCTATTCTCTAAATTATTTATCTTAGTAGGGTTTACCGTTGTATGTTCCGCTAAATGTTTATGTTCTTCTATTCTAACTGACCCAGATCGTCTGGTTTGACGTATATACTTGACCTCATAACTATTACGTGGTATCTGATAGGTTAGGTTATTTTTCTTAATAGGCTCTACTGGATCTTGTAGCCTACAAGGTTTCTGTCTGAGCGAGTTTGTAGGTTTAAATGCCACTGTTATCCCCTTAACATAAAATCTTCGATGTACCTTCGTTATACGGCAACCAGATAGAAGATTTGAATTCCGTCTTGCAATCACTACTAACATTCCATTAGTTTTCATGTTGTCATAAGGATATTGACAATAATATGGGACATAAGATTTTATTCTCGCTAAAATGTATACCGGTTATGTTCTACTACGCTAGTAAAAACTGTTGACCAGTATTCTGAGTATTTTAACCATACTTAAAGCTAGTTTATTTTTCTCCTGTCTTAGTTGTGTTGCGTTCTTTGAGTTGGGTGAGAATACAAGATAGCCAAAATCACTCACTTGAGCTACATATATACTCCACTGTTTTTCTCCTATTTTTTGCGCTAGTATACTACAAGGTTGGTGAAAGCACACAGCTCTTAGCTTCTATGTCAACGCTAAACAAGAAAAACAAATTCTGGTTGGAAAACCTGACAAGAAACATGAGTTAAACCTAAAATATCTGATATATTATGCCTGTTGTTTCTCATTTATCCAAAAAATGTGAATCTCAGACTACAGTCTTCAGTTAGTCAGCGGCGACATTGAATGTAAGTGGCACTATATCAAGAACTGACAGAAGTAGGAAATGTGGATCCTAGGATCCCGACCCAGTGGCTCAATGGTAACAGGCCACAGGACCTGAAGGCCATGGGTTCGATCCCTGGCTGGGTGGTTTCATGTATGTGCACTGTCTTGGAGTCCCTTAGTAGGACAGCACAGCTGTTCAGTTCTCCCAGATTTTCAATCTTCATCCAACTCACTTCAGTCCATGATAAATTCCAACCTATAAGTCTCAAGTTTGTTGTAAGCAACAAAAGCAAATGGATCTCATGTTCTGAAATATATGTCAGATTATCTAAACACGTTAACACTTTTTCCCTTCTATTTTAAGGATGAAATGAATACAGTAAGCGGTTTGAGTTTCTCACCACCTATACATAAAATAGTTCTCATTCTCACTTACATCATAGATAAAAGATTCAATTAGTCACTTCGTTTCTAGGTAGTATATTTACCATTGTAAAGCAATTTTGTAATTTTTCACTTTATTAAGTAATCAAATAACAACTAGATTTATGTTAGATATTTATGACTCACTAGCTTTTCTTGTAAACAGGGAGTGAAAAACATTATGTTTTAGTGCAGAATAAGATTGCCACCATCTTCTTAAAAAGCCCTAAATCCTCGAGGCCTTTATCAACCAATCGTTTTGATTAGGAGCTTTGGAAAAAAATGTGAACTAACGTGTATATATCTGATTGGTTGAAGCAACGGAAACCAATGGGATATAAAAATGTAGAAAGGCCTTGAAATAACCAAGGTCATTGTGAATATATATAAACCCTTGTATTTTTTGGCATATATTTTTGACGTTGTAATACACCTTCTGTTATTGTAAAACGTTTTCTATTTATCGAGAAACTTAGAGACCAGCAAGGAGTGGAATCAGAAGGTTGTTGTCCAAGCATCCGAAAATAAATAAGGCTGTATCAAGTCACTACAAGAATATAATAATAATAAGTAACGACAAGGTTATAACAAGTGGCAACTAGGGATATAAAACCTAACTGTCACTTGTATTTGATGATAGCTCATGAGTTTTATCACTGCTAGTATCCAGAATGTTGCTATGTAAGCTTAATGTGACATTGTAGTCTAAAAATTGTTTTCAACTGCCAAACTTTGATGTCAAAAAGGTTTCCGTTGGAAACTACTCCTGCCAGACAAGATCACAAAGTGCGATTTCCCACACAAAAGTATCTTGAACCAGCAAAATATACTACTACTACTTAACAATCTATGTAGTAGTACTACTCCTTAGGCTGATGTGTAGATATGCCTAGATCAATCTGGCTAACGAAATCCATAGAAAAGTATGAGTGACTTCTTAACTACTCAAGTTGTTTAGTAGTAGTACAGAAGACAACAGGATGTTTGTTGAACTTTCAGTAGTTTTGAATTGATGGTATGCATAAATCAGGTTCATTTTGTTACTTCTGTTTGGAAATAAACTTTATCTTACTTCTGGATAACCAATATACAAAAGTAAGTAGCAGGATATCTGAAAATAACTCATAAGTACTGTGTAAAATGTAAACAATTTACAAGATGTTTAATCTTCACTTGACAGTAATTTTTATGAAGGATTGAAAGGTTCCCGTCGACTGACCTTGATAATAATGTGTACTTAAAGTTTTTAGTTGTCAGTGATTCACAAATCAAGTTCATTCTGTCTGGAAAACTAACTTCATATGATTGATTTCTTGAGCGGTCTGCGTATAGCCTCAAATATAGATTTTTATTGCTTTAAAAAATTAACAACTACTTATTTAATTGCAAACAAGTACTATACAAACGTTTCCAGATATTTTTAGAAGCACTATGTTTCATAAGCCTTTGTTTCTTGTATAGTAATTTATATATTAGGAAGTCGAATTCAAATGTTGACAAAACTCATGCTGTAATTCCGAAATTAATACTATCCTGCTGTTCAGTGCATCTAATCAGTAAATTGGAATGCCGTTCAGTACAAACTATTTATTAAGTTAATAAAATGTATATTTTTTTGTGTAAGGATTCTGAAACCTGTTCGCCGGCTGTAATAGTGTTTACTGGCCTGATGAAATACTCTCTAAACTACTGTATGCGTAATTTATCAACAAATAAATTTTAAGCTACGGCTTACACTGTATAAATCAACATAGAAGAACAAAGATGTTTACTCTAAAAAATGTCTATGAAACATCTGAAAACTTCTGTACGCTATTTATTAATGATATACAGAGTAGATTGATTTTCATAAATAATACATTTTGAGTAGAATGTTGAGGAAGATGTGTATTTTTTGAAAGAAAAGGCTTTTAACGTAACCCTTCATCTAATTTCATTCATTGGGTGCATCTGATAACAAAATCAATCAACAGTAGTTATGTCCGGATTCGATTTTGAAATTTTTGGGAAGTATATTGATTTCAAGCTGGAAATTCATCACAAATTAACATTATTTGGAAGATCTCTAGAAAGCTGTTTTGTCTTAGTACGGGACTCCTCAGAGATGTGCACTCATGACTTTACCTCGTCAGACACCGAACCGGAGACCTACTGGTTCCGTATTGAGCACGTTACCATTGAGTCACTTCGTGGGACCCCAGTGGTTGGAGTTCTCCCACTCCTGTCAGTTCTCTGTGTAGCGTGACCTCTATCCAATACTGTAGTTGAGTAACTGTTCTCACGTCCGACTTCGTTGGGCTTACCTATCATGACTTCGCACGTGAGCAACTTGGTTCCCACCCGATCTGTTATAAATATGAACTTGAATTCATACTTAAAGTTAGCCACTTACTTAAAATATGCACATTATTTCCTGTTTGGTTTCACATTGTACATGTATCTTCACAATTGATGAATATTTCAGGTACTTAATTATTGTCCAAAAGATATGCAAGCGGATATATCAGTTCACTTAAACCGTTGTGTATTCAATAGTCATGCTGCATTTCGTCTTGCAAGTGATGGTTGTCGACGTTCATTAGCTGTCAACTTTCAAACACTCCACACAGCACCAGGTGATTTAATATGTCATCAAGGTGAAAGTGTTGATCAGTTGTGTTTTATAGCAAGTGGTACTTTAGAAGTATTACAAGATGATGAAGTTATTGCAATACTTGGTAAGAATGAAACTGTTAGTTAAAATTTATGTTATCTTTTTATTGAGAGAGTTTTGTTTAGTTCTTTGAGTAAAGGAAGTTATTATCCATTATATTCTGGGGGAAGTATAGCATAACTGTGTACTGGTAAAATGTTTTATTCGACTACTGTCAACTTTCTGCTACCTCTAATGGAATAAAATTAAGTTGAGCACACGATTAACTGGTTGATTGTTGCCAAATTATTGGAACTATTCAGAGCTACTGCTGTTGTTATTTTAGGTGAAGACGCTTCGTATGACAATTTGAAAATGCTTGGGTTGCGTTTCTTGCCACCCAAGTGCAAATTGTTGTTCCGGAGCTGGTCTTCAACGGTATCATGAAAAAAACAGAGATTGAAGTGACTGGGTGCCTTAAACGATTCAATCACTTGGGATATCGGATCAAGCCTGATGGCTCAGGGACCCACAAAACCTCTGTACGGATACAAGGGACTCGGGTTACGCTTGCCAACTTACACCATCTATGGCGCCGCCGTGATATTCGACTGTCTATTAGGGGTCGACTGTACTGTGCTACAGTCCGCTTTATTCTACCGTATGGCTGTGAAACATGGGAATTAAAGGTGGACGATATGAGAAGGCTTCAGGTGTTTGACCACCATTGCCTTCGTAACATAGGCTATGTTTCGTGGTGTCACCACATGCGTAACGCGGAAGTTAGTCGTTGAGTTTTAGGCAGGAGAGATAAGACAGTTGATGCGGTTGTGAATGTAAAACGACTGAGATGGTTGGGACAAGTGTTACGTATGCCCAATCGCTGTCTGCCTCGTCACAAATGCTGGAAGAAGTAGGTTCAGGATGGAAAAAGGCTCAAGAGGGCCATACTAAAATATATAATCAAATTATGAAGTGTTTGACTGTTGATTTAAGCCATGTGGGGCGATGCAGACTGGCCGGTCGGGGTCCATGGGACAAGAGAAATCAATGGTTGGAGAATCTAGGTGATACAGCCGAGAATTGATGTCAGTGGCGTAGATGCATACACACACTATCCTTATCTTTGCCGCTACACTTAATCTTATCATATCATTTTTCCTTCCTCTCTTTTACTACATTCTACTTCTACCTTCTTTGACTGATTTTCGTTTCCTTCTTCGTTTTCCATTTTATTACCCTGTTACTTTATGTGCTGATAAGAGGTGTGGCGACTTGGATCATGAAGCAGTAATGCTTGGTCCAGTATTGATCTTGATTGTGATGATTGATGAAACGTTTAGAGGAACATCTTACTACTCTTTTGCTTTGATATAAATGTAATATTTAAGGGGCTTAACAATAATGGAAGAGTTCAGTAAAGAAACTGTATTCTTTGCATTTGTTAACAGTCTCTGTAATTAGATACTTTCGAAAAAAACTAAGTAACCAATGAGTATAACAGAAAATACTTTCCGTAAACTACCAGTTTGACATGCTGACATGTATTGATAGTTCATTAGTTCCCTGATCTATTCTCACATGTTAGTAACTAGACAGTACGCTTATTTATTATATTCAACGTCGGTGGAAGAAAACAGGACGAATATCTCAGTATTTTTTTGGAGTAGATGATTTTAAGCTCATTGCCATTGCTTTCCTAGAAGTGGACTTCCATAGAATTAAGGTGAGAAGGCCAGCAAGTAATACCTATCTTCAATGCAAACCATCTAGGCATAAAAAGAACTCGACATTTACTCCCTCGTTTGGAGCAGAATTGTCAGCAATGTAGATGAAAAAATTCAGCTCATAATGCTAAATTAGGTCAGATCACACGAATCTAGCTAATTGACTTGCATTATACTGACCGGCGTTTCTAAAATAGGATGGTTAGTTTACAAACTAATCATCTTATTTTAGGTAAACGAGTTACTTTCAAACGATACATTAAGAGCTTAAGACATGAAGTATTAAACAAAGAAGAAATACTCATCCGTACCAGAAATATTTAAGACCCGAGTGTACTAGACAGTTATCATATTCTGGTTTAAGATTTCTTAAAAGTTGGCACTCATGACCTTTCAGCTGCTGGGTTAGAACTCAGTCCCATCAGTTCATGATGTAGTATGATCTCTCATCCTGTATCATCGGCTGGTAATTCTTTTCGCATTAAAATTAGTCAATCCTCATCGGTAACGACTTCTCTCATTCGAACTTCTAAAACTCCATCTCAAAGTGGGTGTAAATACTAAGCATTGGACAGTAATTTCATTGGTGATTTGTGAGAACCAATTGAATTTAAGTTTTTTTAGGTTTCCAATAGTTCTTCAGTTGATGTCAGTCTCTAAAGAAATTGATCAACCCTCAGGAACCACTAACAGAAAAATAAAACGATCAAAAAAGAATAAATGTTATGGATTAGACCTACCATATAAAGATTAATACAAAAACCATCACTAACTGGTTACCATGTAATGAATGCAAACCACCCAATGAATACGAAAGAATAACAGCGTATTATACATGAATACGGGATTCTAATGGGTCTAATTCGATTACTAATTTCATGTCAGTTATGTTATTTGGGTGCAGGGAATCGACAGAAAATCCTACCTCCCCTAGGTTTCATTCTTGTTGTCATTCGTCACCAAGGCGCATCTGTAATCTTGAAGGAACTGATGTCCCCTATGAGATTCGAACCCCAACGTTGTGGCTATTGAGTCTCAAAGGAGGCATCAATTCTCTCAACATTACCTTCTTAAGGTGAAAATTTCGAATATCTACAATCACAAGGATTATCTTCGCATGAAGCCTGCCTATTCTTATTAGACGTTATTTGTTAGAGCAAACTAATTCTGACCTTGTCTTTCTGAAATTAATTTAGTTAACCGCTACTAGTGTTAACTTGTCTGTGAATTTAATTCATGGCTATACAGTAATCGATTTGGTCAACGGTTGTTTTATTAATAATAATTTTTTTATATATTTAGGTAAAGGTGATGTCTTCGGTGATCCACTGTGGAAAAATACAGTATCTGTACCAGCAGCAGCAAGTGTTCGGGCATTAACCTATTGTACTCTACATACAATACGATTAGATCGCCTTCGAGTTGTACTCAATTTTTATCATGCATTTGCGAATAGTTTCACAAGGAATTTAGAACTTACTTATAATTTATGCAATCGAGTAAGTAACTAACACACTCTGATAATACACAAATTGATTCATTTTTTCAACTAGACTTATGATTTCAATAAAGGAGTTATAATTTTTCGATTTGATACTGAAGAAACATCCACGACTTTATATGCTTCTTGAAGCAGATAGATCAAACATCAGGAAAGATATTTATTTCAATTATTTCTTCACTGATGGCATTCAAACCGCCTAAGAGTAAGCTTGCATCTTTAGGATTTGTCCTGGTGCGAACTTGACAGACGCAAAGACCAATCACTAATTATTCGAACTTGTTATATACCCACGAATACGAGACCAAGGTAGAACACGATAGCGTAGTCGGATGGAATAGTATATTTGGATGGTTATGCCAAAATACCGATGCGTTCCAACTAACTGGCTAGAGAGTCGAATACGAGCAATGCAACGTAACACGACAGCGTGCCAAATGGCCAGGATGCTTGACCGGGTGCCTTCAGCTTAGCGAGTCCAGTTAAACTATCAAGGTCAGCATCGATGTCGAAAGTCGTCAAACCCTAGGCTACTGATTTTGGGGAAGTGTATGACGCTACAGATCACTCCCCCCCTAGTGGGTTCGTGAGGACCCTAAGACGATACCAGCCGGAAGTAAAAACCCAGTGGTTTCTCCACTGGTAAAACTCTTCCGATGGGCTGACTGCGTGAGGTGGCCCCTGGTTGTCTGAACCTTATTCTAGGGTGTCGTGGCGATTAAATAAACAATAAATGGAATTGTACGTCGGTCGCGGTCATCTGTTCCTTTCGACGTTCCGTCCAGTGCTCGTTGCACCTGGAATATAAATAAAAGTCTTTAATACCACGAAAACGTTGCGTAAAAATGGGAATTATTTATATATCAACATATCGAAAAATAAAAATTTACGCTTATCTTTACCGTTTTTTTAAATTTCATTACATGGTAAATAAAAATTGATATAAAAAGGCAAAGTATACGAGGGTTTGTATTGATGTATCGGGTAGGAGTCCGGAGTTGTTTTGGCGTTGAGCCTTCGGTAATCACCGGTTGGACGCCAGTCACTGCTATCCTTTTGGGAACCATGTGCAATGGCGATGCCCAAGGATTGTTCGACGGTCTGATAATGCCCAGGTCGAGCATGTGGTCGAATTCATTTTTCGCCGTTTGGAGCTTATCGGGGGCTAGACGGCGCGCTTTGGATGCCACAGGTGGACCTGTGGTTGTGACGTGATGCATAACATTGCTGGTTATGCACGGAAGAGTGTGCTTCGGTTGCTGTAACTCTGGATATTTCTCCAGAACTGCCTGGTAGGACGCGTCGTCTGATTGTTTAGTCCTAACGATGGCTAAACTCGGACCTACATAGGTGGTGCCGCCAATGGATAACTTTGTGCTGTTATCTATCAGTCGTCGACGGCGAGCATCTACGAGTAGATCGTAATGGTTTAGCAAATCTATGCCAATGATGGGCATAGAGACGTCTGCCAGGAGGAAAATCCAGTGGATAGGTTTGCGTAAACCTAAGTTGAGGTAGGCATACCGTCTCCCGAATGTCGCGATTGCCTTGCCGTTGGCTGCTTGAAGATTGAAGGATGGGTCAAGATGACGCTCCTTTGTCGTTGCTGGAAGAATGCTAACTTCTGCGCCGGTGTCGACGAGGTAGCGGACTTTCGTTTTAATATCCGTGACGTAGAGCAAACGGCTTTTTCGGCCGGCTACGGTTGCCGTGAGCACGTGCCGGCGTGACCGTTTCCCGAGTTCGGGTCCTTCTTAAAACGGCATGGTTTACGACATTTTCTGGCTTCATCCCCGTAAGTGTTATGAAACCAGCACCATTCAGGGTTTTCCACCCTGTTGGGTTTCGTTTTAGGGCTACCACACGACTTGCTGCGATGCGCCAAGGTGCGTTTCCGTGAAGTGCTACGTGATCTAGGACTTCGAGATCGTAGCAACCGTCTCACAGAGTTGCACAACTTGGTCACCTCTGAATCCTGGCGCTCTGTTTTGTCGCAGATAGAATATACGTTGGAGACTGGTCTGCTGGATATCTCCAGTATTTTATCTGCTGAGGCTGCCAGGTCGTCGAGTGGGACTGACTGGAGTGTCACCAACACGGTTTGCACCGGTTGTGGTAGTTTCGAGAGAAATAGTTCTCGGAAGAAACCATCGTCAAATGTTCGTGCACCGATTACTTCTCGCATGCGTGCGAGGACTTCAGTAGCTGAGTGGCTGCCTAGCTCGATGTTACGAAACAATTCGTCTAGACGTTGGCGATCTGTGAGATCGCTTTTCTTCAAGAGTGCGGCCTTTAGAAGTGCATAAGGGTCACTTACTTCAGGATTAAACATGTTTGCTGTAACATACCTGTTTAATTCTCGCGGTAGTGACCGGATGACAGCAAGAAATCGAGAATGAGGATCTGAGACACCCTGTCCTCGAAAATCTGCCTCGGCATACAGAAACCATGTTTCTGCATTGTCTGGCCAATATGGCACGAGTTGGATCGTGTTCGTAGTCGACTTAATACGAATAAGCTTGGGAGTGTGGTCGGACATGAGAAAGTGTAGTAAATGGATATATAAATGTTATCGAAATGAAAACAATAAACAAATATAAAATGGAACAGGCTCACCAATTCAATACTTGTTATTGGTCGGGATATGTGATCACGTCGGGCTCACCAATTTAGGATTTGTCCTGGTGCGAACTTGACAGACGCAAAGACCAATCACTAATTATTCGAACTTGTTATATACCCACGAATACGAGACCAAGGAAGAACACGATAGCGTAGTCGGATGGAATAGTATATTTGGATGGTTATGCCAAAATACCGATGCGTTCCAACTAACTGGCTAGAGAGTCGAATACGAGCAATGCAACGTAACACGACAGCGTGCCAAATGGCCAGGATGCTTGACCGGGTGCCTTCAGCTTAGCGAGTCCAGTTAAACTATCAAGGTCAGCATCAATGTCGAAGGTCGTCAAACCCTAGGCTACTGATTTTGGGGAAGTGTATGACGCTACACATCTAAAAAACTGAATAAGTGAAATTTTTCTAAACAACTTACTGAATCACAAACATCTGTTAGGTGAACAGGAGTGACTGTGAGGTTCAAAAGTATCTGAAGTTTGCATAGTGGTGAAGAGAACAGGCTACTTTACTTAAGTGTTTACTGCTTGTTAGAAGTCATATATATGCCACTTTTAAAAAGTACATTTCATTGTTTTAGCTTCCTGAAATGTTTGGTGTGATCATTTAATGTATGCTCACGTATATAATGATGTTCAAATGGTCTCTAATAACGGTTCAGAACATTATGAATAAAACAGAACATGCGTATAGATACATGTTTTTTCTTAAATATCCAGTTTGATAATGATTCACTCATATTTTGTTTGGCTACTCAAATGTAATGTCGAATGCAGTTGCACAGTCTAAATAGCAAAAATGACATACTTTCTGTCAAAATCAGACTTAATTTTTCCTACATTTAAAGCTGAATCACTTGGTAATAACAAGATTGTCAGGTTTCTGGTCTCCTGGCCAAATGCTGTGCTATTCAGCTGATGTCCGAATTGGACCTCGTAGCTCAGTTAGTTGAGCATCAAGCTAAGAACCTGGTGGTTGCTGGTTCGTATCCGGCAGCCGTCCAGTTTTTCAATTCACCTTTAATTATCACCCAGTAACATTATTAAAATTGAAATTACCTTGCTTTTATATAGTCACATTGTCATCCTGCTACAAGTGACCAATCAAAGTGGAGTAGAAAGTATTACGTAAGTGTGTGTGATAAGTTAATAATGTAAATGTAGGGCTACATTCCTCGGCATGCATTAAGGTCAAGTCAGACAGGGTCAAGGGGTAAACTGATGGACATGAAGTAGAAACTGATTATGAATTTGGTTTTAAAAGGAAGGGGATGGTGAAAATACAGAATTTTGGATGGGTTTATTCTGAAATAAATTAATGTCTACCATGGAAGTTGAGAGCTAACAAAGACCTCTTTATGGATGTATAAGTTCGGTTTAATTCTTCTGATGGTATTACTCCTATAATTCTTCGTAGCATAGCATTGTTTTATTTGTTAACCAGTCGACTTTCGAAAGTCGGATGGGGTTCCTAACTCATATCCCCTCAAATTGCATCCACCAGTTCATATGTACCTGTTAGAGCACGTACATTGAAAGAACAAAGAGGAAGGCTGAGACTAGACTGGGTGAACACACTACAAATAAATTAAGCTTAAAGAAACCAAAGTTCCAGTACTAAACATCTCATGGACACAGAACACAACGTCCAAACATTTAAAATAATTAACAGTACAATGAATTTGATACTGAGTGAAATAAGTATGTTTATTCTGAGACTGCTCATTAGCAAAACATGAGTTTGAAGAATGCTAGATGACAAGATGACTGACTAGTTAAACAATAAGGTTGATCTCAACTGTTTACAAGTCAACATATCTTTCGGTTTTGAAAATTCGCTGTGAATGAAATTGGTGTACCAGTTAACAAGTTAAAAAGTGTTCTATGATAACGTAAAATAAAAAGAATTTTCAGTTGTGCACTACTAAAATCCTTATTCGATATCTAGGACATATTTCTATCTTGTAGAAGAACATACAGTGAAAATATGAAGATTGCCAAAGTGAACTATAGAAAATGATCTTTATGTTACTTGTGAAAGGTTGTTAAAAAAACACCAGTAGAATATGCATATGCACGCTGACTGTTAGACGAACATATCAAATTTATTTAGCCGAATAAAAAACAGCTTGTTTTCTTCTCTTCCAGGTTATCTTTCGGAAGTTATCCGATGTGAGACGTGAGATGGAACTATCGATGAGAAAAAACAAGGAGCCACCACTGAGTACACTTCCTCCAAGTCATCCAGTAAGAAAACTTATTTCTAGACTTCGTCGATCAAGTCAGGTGGGAGATTTATCTTCTAGACAGTGTTTAAGTACAATTGTATCGTGTCACACATCACTTGATGGATCAGAATTTGAAAATTCTAGTATGTCTGATATTATGGTACATAGCACCACTGACAGACCTGTCTCAGTACATAAGATACAACCTTCATCTGTAGAGAATGAGTCATTTATTTCTGCTGGTTATGAGCCTAAAGTGATGACACCTATATCTAGTCCAGTCAAATTCCTACCTAATTATGTTGGAGATATTCAGACTTCAACAGATACTTCATGTGTTGCTCAATCAGGAATTGGAAAAGGACCAAATCCTGCAAGGAAATGGGCTCGTCTAATCTCCAAGTAAGTACAGTCAGTAATTTGTCTACCACTATGATAATGTTGATGTTTTAGACTGTCGTTTACTTGGTCAGAAATGTAATTCATGTGTTGTATAAACACAGTCAGAATTCAACCTGGAGGATTTGTGAAGATTTATGAGTTGAATTCAGGTTGGAATTCATTATGGACTGACATTGGATATTAGATTTCAGAAACGTGGAAGCACTGACCAGCTGTTTCGTCTCAGTGTGGGACTCCGAAGCGGTGGGTATCGATGGCCTGGTGATGGATCGAACCCAGGACCATCAGGTTCCATGACCTGTGGGTTGGAATCCAATGGTCCATATTTCCTACTTCTGTCAGAGTTTATGATATTATTAGAGGTACTACTGTAATTATATATTATTATTAGTTGGAACTAGGTTCAATCTAAAGATAACTACCTATGATTAGTTTCCCATGTACATGCACTAGAGAGAAATTAGATCGTGACATTAAGGATCAGACATGCTTCATTTTTATTCTACAAAGAATGTGGACAGATATTCAGTAGTTTCTGGAAATCCTAAAATGGGTGAGTAACAGGTGTCACCCTGTAAATATATAGGTAAATAATGTAATATGAGTAGATTTTTAATGCAAAGTTTACACACAATGATAAGTTTTTATTTTGGTAATATTTCATGCTAAAATTACTGCCTGTGATCACCCCAATAGTTGGAATTTTTAAGCAATATTATTTCACGCTCAGCAGTAGGTATCATATATTATACAATATTAGTGTTCAGTAGTCTCCATATTAAATTTGTTTATTTGATTCATAACACAGTGATACCGTATTATTTATTTGATGACGTTTCAACCATAAATTATTATTGCACCCAATCATATCAATGTAATCACACAGATTTCAGCATCTGATTTTCTTAGTCCTGTCAACTCTTTTTCTTTGTTTCGATTGGTAGTAAAATTTTCTATATCTTCGTCATAGACGGTGCGTTACTTCTACTACATGCGTTGGGTTGGCTGTTGATTCGATGTACGAAGATTCATACCGGGTGATGATTGAAGGTGAGATGAAAATCTGGATAGTGGCCAGATTCGAACCAGCGACCACCAGGTTCCCAACCCAGTGTTCTGCCAACTGAGCTACGAGGTCTAACTGCTGGCCGTACTTCTATTGTACTTCAATTACCAAAGGTTTTGTCTGACTACCACGTGAATTTGTGATTCGTTAATACCGCCTGGTCGTATTCACACTGGCTGCCTAGTCAGGACTTTTCATCCCAATCTGTCACGAATTCACATGGTAGTTGGGCAAAACCCTTGGTGACTGAAGTAAAATAAGAATATGGTCAGCAGTCAGACCTCGTAGCTGAGTTGGTAGAGCACCGGGCGGGTAATCCTATGGTCGCTGGTTCGAGTCCGGCCGTGGTCCAGATTTTCATGTCAACTTCAGTCGTCACCCAGTATAAATACTAGTCTGCCAAACTTCGGCTACCTCAGATAGTCAAATGGTAATGTACAAATATTCAGTATTCAATCTCTTTCACATACACACACTCTCTCTCCCCACCTAATTATATTGAACTGAAGTACAGTGGTTTCATCTCATCCTTATTATGTGGGTATGCGTTAATGCAAACATGGATTGCACTAGCCGAGTTTTTTTTCCAGATTATTGGTCTTATTTGGGTCTGTCATTCTATATTTAGCTAAATTCCCATGTTCGGCAACTCTAACTGATCACGACCGGCTAGTTTGACCTACTGGACTACACAGTCGTTACATGGAATTTGATAGATTAGATTATTTTACTTAATTGATTTTATAGCATCCTTAAACCAGCCGACAAAGTTTATCTCTAAGTGAGAATGTAGGTTTAAGTGCCACCCTAATTTCAGTTATGTTGAGGATCCTACATAAAGTTTCTGATGTTCCTTCCTTATACGGTAACAAAGTGAAGGCTGTCAACTCCTTTCTATTCATGTTGTTACTATTATTCAGATTCGTGTTAGTGTTATCATTTCGTTTCTTAGATGTTCGTACGAATTTCTTCATAAAGTGTAAGAGATAATTATTAATTATTAATGCTTCTTTTACGTGTTCCAATTCTCCGTTTAAGTTCTTGAATCCCCCAGTGAGTTATCTAGCTCTATTGTTTAGACATTTGATTAAACCTACCTTAACTGATATTAGATGAAATGACTTGGAGTCTAGATACCCGTTGTAATCTGTTCGTTTTCTGTAAATGGTAGTATCCAAACCACTGTCTGTTTATTCTGCAATCCAAAGTAGGCAATTCTCCCTGTTCATTCTCTTTCTGGTAAGTGAATTGGATAGCGCCTACCTCTGAGGTTATATCTTTGAGGAAATTGTCGATATGTTCCGATTTCAAGACAATAAGTGTGTCATCCACATATTACCACCGTATCTTCGGTCCAGGATTATACGTTCGTAGTTATTACTATTTATTGGTATACCTGTAGTCCTCCATGCGTCAATAATAATTGACCGCAATTAACGTTCAGGCAATATCGAGGCATCCGCATAGGAGCCCACATGCTGAAAAGGTCGAACAATTCGATTCAATAAAACAATGGAGAATTACAGGTATATCAATAAATAGTAATATCCTACTGCTGTCATAAATTTCTCTACTGATAATAATAATAATACTATTTTCAATGTTTATAACAAGCATTTCTAAGGGTGTAAATGTAGAAGACCTCAATTATATAAAATGCACACACCAAACATCCTACTACGACCAATTGTTTCCCTTGTAAGTATCACGTAGCCACTCTATGAACTCTCAAACATAGTTTTTTTGAAATGACTAAACATATTCATAATGACAAGGACGAAATGATGGTGTCTTTCGACGTTACATCTCTATACACCTCAACTAAGTCCGAACTGTCTAACGATACAATGAATCTTCTTCTCAACAATGATACACACCTCTAGGAACACATACAACTACTAAGTTCAAATCTGATGAAGTTAATTAATTTATGCCATACAACATAATCTCTCCTCAACGGCAAACTCTATAAACAGATACAAGGAACAATAATATAACCCCCTAAATCAGGAATAACTGCAGAAGCAGTGATACAAAGGGTGGAAAATGTGTTACTGCCGTTGATCAAACCGAAACTTTGAATCTAATATGTAGATAACACTTATCATCAGCGAAAGAAACAAATCTAAAAACGTTTGCAAGTTAATCAACAATATTTTTGACGACGTTAAATTCACAACTGAAAAGAAATCAAATCATAAACTTGCATTTTTAGATTGTCTGATCACTAGAACAGATTTTGAGAGACCAGAAAATGAAGTATACAGAAAGCTAACTCATACTAACCGACTAACTGACTGATGAAATCAACATAGAACCATGCACACAGGTAGAACACCTCAAGTTGCCACACTTCACAGAAGTACTCAAAGAACAGGTGGATAGAAAAGGAATATCAAAGTAGATAAAGTACTATGAAACAATAAACAGTTTGAAGATAAAGTTTAATGTGAATATTCAAGCTTTAGAAGACATCAAGGAGTGAATACATCTGCAGCATTGTGACCAACCACTGATTCCTTTCATCTCAGGGACCCCGACAAGGCAGTCTTCATCTCCCCACATGGCACAAGACAGCAGCTGGAGACTCCATCAACTTGTGCTAGGTCTTGGTCTCGCCACCCTGAGCCCTCTTTGGATAAAAACACAACTTCACCTGACATTGTACGTCAAGGTAGGCGGAGGCTTGGATTGCACAGCAAATGTCTAAGTCATCTCAGTCGATGAAGGTCAAAACCTTACCAGTCGACTTGCCTATCGTACCTAGTACCTTTGCCTAACCTCAACATTACTCATACGGTGATTCTACCACACACCAGCAATGCTATGAAGACACCTATAGTCGAAAAACTGTAGTTCTTTCGTTATCTACTTTTAACGACTATGTCTTACAGCCGTATGAAAGGACAAAACGGACTTTATTGGAGTATACCAGTCCTTTGACAGATAACCAGATATCTAGCCGACACCACAGGTGACGCGATTTGGTAAATGCCAAACGGGCTTTCTCTGTCCGAGCTGAGATTTCGTCAGCAACCAGCCTATTCAAGTTGTCACAACTTCTGATGTAACTGAACTTGTAGACACATTCCACCACTTCACTCCCTATCACTAAGCTGGGAATACCTGCAGCAAACCGGTCCTGGAGTATCATCGTACACTTGACAAGTGCGAAACGAAGATCAAACCTACTAAAATTTCTGTTCAAAGTGTTCGGAAGACCCAGTATTTCGTCTACGTTTTCACCTTGTAGGACAATATTGTTTGCATATCCAAGTCAACTATGTCAGTATATGTAAAGTCAAACTTACCTAGAGTTATGACCAGTAGTACGTCTACGACGAAGCTGAATAGGAATAGTGACAGTATATATCCCTGTCAGACGCCTCTAGTTGTTGCCAACTCTCCACAAGCCAACCCTTGCACGGTTGCGTGAGTTTGAATAGAGAGCCTGATTATCGTTTAACACTTTCTCGGTACTCTCTTCACGGTCAGATACTGCCACAACGCTTCACGTTCGACACAGTCAAACACCTGATTTATAATACTAGATCACTGTGTTATAAATCAAATAAACAAATCTAATATGAAATTAATTTCTATCATAGTGCCCAAGTTTTACACCTATAGTAAAGAGTCAAACATCGCCTTCCGCACAATGAATATGGCAAGCGTCAGCCAGTAGCAGGTTTAAATGTCTGTGTTCCGGAACCTTTCTGAAGTTGAAAACATGATCAACCCGCCATCGACCAGGCCTGAAACATGCCTGGTTTTCTCCATTTTGCTGTTCACCAGCTCCAGTTAGGCGTCGGATAACTATGGAGCCTAGGACAGTGGATACAACGTTAGTGAAACTAATTCCCCTACGGTTGTTGCAAGAAGATTCCTGTCCATTCTTATAAACTGGGATAATCACTGAAACAGACCAGTTTGAAGGGACCATTTCTGATTCTTATACACTACCTGGTACCTATGTTACTGTAAGCAGTAATTCCCTACCTACATCCTTGAAGACCTCAATTGGCAAACTGTCAGATCCTATTGCTTTGCATCGTTTTGAAGTTCAACATAGCTTTCTCAACTTCAGGAAGAGTTGGAGGACCAACATCTACATCTCATTCAGGTTCAAGCTGGATGTTGGGCAATTGAAAGGTTGAAGAAGACCAATTGGACAAACTCATATGGATCAAATCCTCAACAACAATAACAACAACCAAAAAGCACACAAAATCAGTTGCATAAAACATTGTTCAAACTTGCGGTGACATGCTGTAGTATATCAACATTGTGGAGAAAAGGAGAAAACTATTTGATGACTGTTTTTCAGAAGAACGGCTATCCACACAACTTCATCAAACGATGTTAATGCAATGTGTCGTCAACCACGAAATCAACTTCGAAAAGCAAACAACGGATTATCCTATCCTACATGAAGAACGTCTCTGTGATCACGACTAGATTGGTTGAAGCCTTTTGGAATAGCTATATCTCACAAGCCCACAAAATCTCTCCGCTCTGTGTCATGCAGGCCACAAGAAAACCAAACCAAAAATTGTCTGCAAAATAAACTTCAGGAACTGCGAGAAACACTACATCGGACAGAGTGGTCACCCGTTCTCTTTGTATCCGTCTACATGAACATCAACTAGAAGTGAAGCGCCATGATATATATTAGTTCATATCAATATACATAGGCAACTCTAGACATGAACTCGACTGGGAAAATGTGGGAATCTTGGATCAGGGAAATACAAAGAATGTCAGAGAATTTTTAGAAAGCTTCACATTCAGGTCATTCAGCAATCAACAGACATATTGACATTAATCCAATCTATCAACCTATAAGAAACAACAGCAGGACAGACAATAGAAGTGAATGTGGAAAAAATGGCAGGACCTTCGTAGAAACAAACAGTCACATACAAGTCCATCAGTACAACCTACTAAGCGACTTGCGAATAAAACCCCATAGCTGGCTTGTTTCTGAAGTTTATACTGCCGGTATTGCCTAGGGTAACAGATAAGACTTCACGATTAAACCATCCAACTTGGAGAAAGCAACACTATCAAAAAGAGGACAAACTCACTTTCGTCTAATACTGACTATATTCCTTACGAGACATGGACTGTTGATAGTACGATCTGATTTCAAGTGAATTGTTTCCATCCAATGAGTAATTAGTTGATATTTAGAAAATAAACTGTGGTAATATCTAACAATCTAGTATGAAAAGGGACAGAAAAGTGAATGATTCACATTTTGGCTATTAGATATGCTAAACATATATTCTGCACTCAACTAAATCTTTGATTCTACAAGAGGATATCTTGTTTTATTGTTTCAGATAACTGAATTACTATCAATGATTCTGTTTATTCAAATAACTATATTTGAAGGTTAAATTGCTCACAAGAACTATGGTTGAATCATGGAGAAAAGAAACTTATATGATCCATGTATATATTTAAATATGATTATAGTACTTATATTTTCCTTTATTATTAGGGTATCACAGGCACCTTTACATGATGTGAATGAAGAACCAAATGAAGAATCTAATCGTCTAGTAATACCACATGGAAGAAGTGAGAAATGTAAGTCAGAAAGTGAACTAGCAACAAAATTCTCAAACGACGAAAATTTAACACAAATACTTGTAACTACAATTCCATTGTCATCAATCAATATGGATCAAAATGCTGTAATAAATTCAACAAAACCACTACAACCACCTTCTACATCAACAGCGACAATAACATCTACGCATACAACTCCAACTATACCTTGTCAAGATTTGCATAAGATTGAATTGAGCATTGAAAAGTGTTTTAATACTTTCCATATACAACTGAGTGGGCAAATTAATCAGATTGTTAAACGATTAGATAATTTAGAAGGACAGATAGTTGAACTACGCAATACTTTTCCAAATCCTAGTAGCATAAATACAGTGCCAAGGAGAACAGATAATTCATTTATGAGCATGCTCAGGTCTGCCAACAATAATAACTTAACAAACAATGATAACCTGATTCCTATAACTACTAATGATAATAATAATAATCATTCTGAAAAGGTATTTAGTAGATAAAAATATCCCCAACTAAATCAATGATATTTTTGTGAAATATAAACATGAACTAAGCTTCCTTGATATTCTTTGCCAGCAGTTTAATCCCAATACCTCCACATCATGATGAAATCATCACCTAAAAGGTCTAAGTTGACGCCATATACAGTAACCAATGAATAGTAACCATAACAACTAAGAAACGTGGGAAATATAAGGAATAATCAACTTTAAGTCATTTCGTTATATGTATCATTACTGGTCTGTATCTATGCATATTTTGCATAAATGTAAAATAAAATACTCATTACATTTTATTTGAAAAGGCTTTTCTTTTAAACAGTATTCAATCATAAAACACTCAAATTATAAGTGTTGTTTAAAGGAAGTGTATTGAATAGTTGTCTATTTCAATAGTAGAAATCTTGATATTGGTAGTTCAATTTTTTATTGGAACTTTTTTGGTGTTGTCAGCTGTACAGAAGAGCAATATAAAGCACTATTTATGTGATTATTTCGCTTGAAACTGCTTGAATCAAGTAACAACAAGACTATATCAAGGAATGCTACACGTTCACTAGCATGAAATGAAGTTCAACCAGGGCTTCTCACAGATCATCAACAGTCAGTTAATATCTATCAATGTACCTTCCCAGCTTGGTAGCTAAATTGCAAAATCATAGATAGTAATCGGTTAACACTCAGGACTAGACAGAAATAAATTAGTCCCTCTTCAATGACTAACCAACATGTCTATTCTAGTCCTGTAGGAGGTCAAACGTAGGCCGAATAGGTGAGTAGTAACTTCTTTGATAGCAGTATTGGATAATATGTATTGGAATCTTAGACGGGATGAAATCTCCGTCGAACTTGCAGATACCCTTTGCTGATGGGTGCTTTGAAACACGAAACCTAAGTCAAACAGAACTTCCTGCCGATCACCCTACTCAACTAACATATTCACAAAGTCTCTGAATGTTGATATATACGTTCCGCATGTAAGTGTTGTCATTTAGGTCAGTGTCTTTCAGATGTTACCAATCAGTATTTTATAAGTTTCAGATGGTGGATAAAAAATTAATTTGAAAAAATCGTTGATAATCTTGATAGTTTTACACGTTTGGTTTTTTTTATCATGTATCATATTTTTTCATGCCTATCCTGTTAATTTTCATACCACTGCATTTACAATTGGGATGATGAGCTATGGTTAACCATGGTATCCAGGAAATGAATTTCGTCCGATATAACTTATATTCACTCAGTATAACTATCTCCCATTGGAAATTTGAACCCGTGCATTTTTTTGCCATATTAGATGCTAGTTTTTCTGTTTAGACTTAATGCACCTTATCAGTACTTGTTACTGCAGATAAGTTAATACATCTAATAAATACGTATTAATGTACAATAAAAGTATACGGAAACTAAATACCTCGATGAATTTTAGCTTAGCTGATAAGAATTTTTATTTGGAGGTTGATGTTCATGATATCAGTTGGAGAACCATTGGAATCCTGTGAACACTGGATGGCGGTTTCGTCTTAGTACCATCCCGTTACACTACCAGCGATCTAACCAAAAGCTTTCTGGTTTCCTCGCCAGCACGCTACCATTGAGGTACGAGGTTAACATCTAGTGGTTCACATTTCCGACTTGTATGAGTTCGAAATGTAGCGTAGCTTCCATTCAATACTATCACTGAATACCTATCCTCTCATCCTATTTGGTTGGCTCCATTGGTTACTACTTCTCATAAGAACTTAAGGAATCTCATCTTGAAGCACTCTTTAATGGACCAAAGAGGAATTCAATTTGGAAGTGTTTGGGGTCTTATTTATTGGATTCACATCGATACTGCCCAATGATAGTAGCAAAACGAGTTTTTCATATTAAATTTGCTGGAAAGCAAATGCAGCGCTGTGCTATCCGATGCAACAAAGATGAAATAGAATTAAAGAATAAGGGTAGGGCTGATATTAACAAATGAGGCAATGAAAATGTAAGGATATAATCATAAAATGTCATTCGTCACAAACATACGGCAACAAGTTACTTGAAATCTGCTGCTCAAATTGATGCAGTTGTTTCCAGAGTGTAAACAGCCATTACGATAAAATATTTCACCAGGTCCATCTTAACAATCATCTAGTGTGTTGAAGATAAGGACATGGGAAAGGTTAACAGTCTTATAGACAGATTTGAAACAGAGTTTGACAATATGGATATGCAGTCTAGGCTTATAAGCTTATCTTTATCAAGTACAATGTCTATTGCAACTCCTGAGAACGAAGTTTAGGGGCTTATAAATCAAGCAGAGGATGAAGGTAGAAGTGAACTTAACCAAGAAGTTAGTGGTGCAACTTCTTGTTCTGTCCAAATGGCCCCGTTTTAGTGAAGGAGGAAGATGGTCTAAAGCAGCGCTTAGCCAGGCTTCAATAATCATGAGTTGTAGCTGTTCTTCCTATCTTTACCCACCACTCATTATCTTCCTTGTCTGTGCTTTCACTTGACTTGTGCTTATAACTTGAAGTCCCCTGTGTTGATTGGTTGAACTGGTGCATTTTTGTTCTTGAGATGAGATTCTTGAAGTTTTATTAAGAAATCATGACCACTGGTCCCAACCAAATAGGATTTAAGAACAGGTACTCAACGACGGCATTGAATATAGGTCTCGCCACACCATAAACTGACAGAAGTAGGAAATGAAAGCCAATAGATGCTGATTCAGTGGCTTAATGACAATGTACTAGGCACGAAAACTGAGGTCTTTGAGTTCAAGTTCTGTTGGGGTTATAGATTCGCCCTGCTCAGAAGTCCCATACTGAGATGTAACAGTCGTCCAGTGTTTCGCCAACTGATGTCAGTCTATGATGAGTACCAACCTGAAATCTTTTAAGTGTTTAAAAAAATCATCTTTGTATTCAAGTTATGGACAATGACAACTCCATCAGCAAAGTAGAAATTATTGTATAACCAGTAATTGTCAGCCTATTAGTCATAGTTGAGCAAATGAATGGTTAGTTTTCATGTTACTATATTATTTTAGTAACCTACATAAGCACCTACAAGTTTACAGTTTCAGGTGGATATTCTTCGGTTTCATAGTGAATTGGCAATCACATTGACAGAAGAATGCCTTTTTGAAAGCTGTCACCAGGAACTTGAAAGTTTTCTCGCTAGCTTCTAGATTTTGTGGTAGATATATAGAGATGTGCAGTTCGAGAACCTTTTTTATCTACATGAAAAATGTATAATCATCCAGACAGGTTTAAGACTACTTTGAATGACAAATATTACCAGTCCAAAAGTTGTAAGGATCCACTCATATCTGAACTAATCAAATGTAATCAAAGTGGAATATCAAAACCTTAATCAGAACCAATTTGTATCAACATCAAGCCTGTTGGAAATATTTCAACGAAATCCTAAATTTGTGTAAGTAATGAAGTCTCATTTCAGCGGCTTCATTAGATATCATCATTTTAAAAGCTTTCAGAGTAGACCAAAACATTGAGTTACTGAATTCACAAAAATTGCTACACTTCGCCTCATTGCATTCACAACAACTCATCTCAGTGCTCAGTCCGTCGTGGTTAAACTTCATGTGATGCAGTATACTTTTATATGCAATAAGGTCAACCGTCACAGTCTTAATTATGTATCTTTCCTCAACATCCTCTTTCTGTTCGTACTTCGCATTGCGCTATCTGTAAGATATTAACGATGAATATTGGCTATCAGGGGGGGGGGTGGATCCAGGATGGGCATTTCGCCCTACTAGGGACTCGTCATATGGATGTACCTGCCTCCCAATGGATGGTGCTGTTTTCCCCGAGACTGAAGCCAAGGACCAATCACTTCACATCCTAAAGCGTTATCTACTAGGCCACTGAGTCATGGTAGCAAATACTTGTACGATATTATAGCTTGTACATCACCGTTACTGACTGGACCCAACTGATCGGCAATTATTGGCATATGAGCTCCTGTGAGGTTGCCTCGATAAAGCCGGTATTTACGATTCCTGATATTTATGATGCTTAATGCCTAGCAGTAAAATGCTGGACGCTGATTTCTTCCTACTTAGGACTCGTTAGCTAGATGTTTTTGAAACTGGGTGGTGAAACAGAAGAAAGAAAATGCTACTGAATTCACAAGTCGAAAAAAATCTCGAGACATTTTCGTTGTTACAGGACAGTTATTATTACTTTAAATTGGTTGAGACAGCTCATTTACTTGTACGTCATTAAAAAAAGACAATTCAGTGAAGAAACTATTTCTTCTAAAAGATAACCTTTACTCAGATTTATACATATTACAGTCAAGAAGTCTATTATTTGATAATAGTAAAACACTGCGTCACCACAAAGGATGAGAAGGTAAACTCAAATATTCCAGTAGATTCCTTTGCTTAAATAATTGTCATGCTTGACTGCATATGCATATATTATGCATATTAACTCATCGAAACAGAGGTAGATGACTTGATCGTGAAAAATTTCGATAACTCACAACAGTCATTTACTTGTTTCTTAGACAAAATTACTTGAAATTAGTTTTTGAAATTGAAATATACCTAGCACCATTGTGGATATTTATGCAGTAGGTTCTGACCTAAACCTTTAGTGTGGGGGGGATAATGGCACCGCCTAGCTACGCAATCCTCAATAGGTGGAGCGAAGTTCAAACCCGTGATCCAATAGTTGAAAGTCATCCATCTAAGCCAAGAAACGGCAGTAGTTGAAAATTACTTTGAAGATTTCAAAAAATACTGTCACCATTTTATTTTGATATCAATCTCTTTCCTTTATGAACTCTAATTGGTTTACACTTAGGAGATTGGAAGCTATTCCTTGTTGTGTCGTCAGATATTGTTTGTCTATGACTTGAAAATCATTCTGATTTCGGTCTCCTTCAATCCTATCAGTTACTTTTCTTGTCAAAAAACTGAAACTTAAAGTTCTTCGCAGCTGGTTTTCTAGTTTAATTGAAGTCATTACCTTATACATAGAAAAGTGTTTAAGCCATAAGATATCGGTGAAGATCGAAAACTTCTTTTCATGCACTCATAAGGTAAGAATTAACTTATATGTGATATTTATGTTGATGGACAGAGAATGCATTCAGGCCTAAATCTGAGGTGAATTTAGATGCCACCGTAGCAACTATTAAAGTATTCAAACAGATTTCAGAACTCAGGCTGGGAAAGTAGTTCTTCATAGAAAAAAGGAATAGAATTGGAAATGATTTTAAAGACCAAACTACCAAATGATGAAACAACCAATCACGTTTCTCTATTCTATGAAAAATTGTCTTC